TTTACAGAGCCAACACTCTACTATTGAGCTACGAGTGAATTTAATCACACTTAAGGTTGATTTGTTTGGTCAGCCTTACCCAATTGTGAATCCACCAATAGGGACGCACTAATTTGACTGCCAGGCAGGATTTCCTAAGTAATCATCTAGGATCCACCGGATGGACTACTAGGCTAACCTTGGTTGTTAGGAGTTTGGCAGATTTCAATAATTTGATTGACCCAATTGCGGAAAATTCGTGGCCTTGGTGGGAGTCGAACCTATTAGGAGTTTAGTCTGACCAACTGCTAGCAACATTTGGAGGCTTTCGTGAGGCGTAGCCAAATGTCTTCTTATTGTGTTCTTCCTTGGGGATTCCAAAGGGCGTACTTCGACAGTGACACACGTCGGATGTCACCGTTACAACAGAACCAACACAGCAGGGACGGCTTTTGTATGGGTTCGACTCTAACCGAGGCCGCGAATTTTCCACAATTGGGTCAATCGAATTATTGAAATCGGCCAAACTCCTAACAACCGCCATTATTTCACCTGTCTTTTTTTACCTTTGCAAACTACTCAGACGATTCACTTGTCTTCTTCGAACGTGTGTTTAGACGAATCAAATTGCATATGTCAAAAGAAGGCTGGTCGAATAGAGTCCTCTTTTTGCACCTATCCGAGCTTTACAAACTGTTAGTCCGAATCTCCTAAAAGTATTTAGACTTCAGCAGCTCCTTTTCCACCAGCCCCAACACCTTTGAGAATTTGTTGTTTCTCAATGATTTCTTATTCAGCCGAGGACCCCTGCAATGCCACCGTGGAGAACTGCCCGCGATCCAATCCCTTGGTCCCTGTGTTGCATGCTGCCTACATGCTAGTAGCCGTATTGATTTTCCTCAATCTCTTGATTGCGGTGTTCAGGCAAGTTTCCAGCGTTCTCTGTACAATCGATAGCATGGCGCCTTTGTCTTTGCCTTACCGAAATTCTGAGATGTGTGTTTTCGATTGGAAAGCGGTTGTACTATTATTTATAGTGCAGCATATGCTTGGGATATTTCAGTTACGTCAACATGCTGACTGACGTGATAGATAGGCTGGACTAAGACGCGGGCCAGATCAGAGAGAGAGAGAGAGAGAGAGAGAGATACGCTTTATTTTTAAAGCATAATTTCAACCTTTTCAGTAAAAAAAAGTCCTTCATTCAAAAGGAATAAAGATAGGTGCACAAACTCAACACCTAGAAGTCGCAAGTAATCCATAATCGCCGATGACTGTAACTTTCGACATTGTGGATAAATATCTTTGGACGAGTGTAGGCCAAATCGGAGTGCTTTCAAAATGGCGCTATCGTCGTGCACCCGTGACCTCATTGTAGTTCAAATAAACAAAAAGGATAAAAAAGTGGTTTTTAATAGGCGAAGTAGGCAGACCGACGTATATATACATGAGCAAATTTATATCCAAATGTACGGAGGAAAAAAACGGTAGCCCAATTTGAAAAGCCCTCCGGATATTCCACAGGCCTTATTCGGGTTGCGCTCCCATATCAAATACTGAACACGGGGGAAGGGAGTTGGTGGCACGCGCAGGCGTAGACTCGGGCACCAGCCACCCATGGCCTCTAGGGCACTCCCACTCGGTGGGATCTGAATCAGGCGTGGTGACGCCTCTCTCACCTGCGTTCGACCCAGCCTCCGCTCTTTTTGACACCGGGCACAGACGAATGAGGTAAGAGCGAGTGCGGTGGATGTAACGCAAGTCTACTATCCCTTAAAACTAATTCGCGAGTAAGCCACCGTCTCTGTGCTGTGAAGCACTCTGTGGGCATAGTGTAGGTCATAGCCCTAAAGGCAGGAAGGGCAG